AGGCAGAGGTGCAGGGGTGGTGAGAGGATTCACCAGAGACAGAGCAGGGAGCAGATCAGCCAAATCAACAAAGTACACTGCTAAAGGGAGCAGCGGGCGGGTCAGGAGAAGTCTGCTGTGCCATATAGGTCACCTTGGGGGCAGGCGGGGATTGAACTCATGCTGAAGTGGCTTTAGCTTCCCAGTGCTGTGCCTTAATGTGCTGCGCCACCAGAGATGGTCTTCTATATCTTTTTTTTTTTAAATGGTGGTAATAACTGATGTATTTTTTTTAAAGATTTTATTTATTTATGCAAACAGAAATGGGGTACAGGCCAGAGGTGGAGGGGCAGTGAGAGGATTTACGAGAAACAGAGTAGGGAACAGAACAGCTAGACTGACAAAGTACACTGCTGAGGGGAGCAGTGGGCAGGTCTGCTGCACTATCTGTATCACCTCCCGGGCAGGGATTGAACTCGCACTGAAGCACACATGGTTTGGCTTCACAGTGCTGCACTCCAGCCAGCTGTGCCACTAGGGAGGGCCTCTTTCTACATCTTGCCAATTAAAAAGTGTGCTGCAATGAACAAAGGGGTGCAGGTATCCTTTTGAATTAATGTTTTTGTGTCCTTTGGGTAGATCACTAGGAATGGAATTGCTGAGTCATATGGCAGTTCCATTTTTAGTAGTTTCAGGAACTTCCATACAGATTTTCATCTTGGTCAAACCAGTTTGCATTTCTATAAGCAGTATAGGAGAGTTCCATTTTCTCCACATCCTCACCAACATCTGTTGTTAGTTTTTTTAATATGTGCCAATCACACTGGTTGAGATGGTATCTCATTGTGGTTTTGATTTGCATTTCTCTGGGTATAAGTGATGTTGAACATTTTTTCATGTATCTGTTGGCCATTTTCATTTCTTCTTTGAAGAAGTGTCTTTTAAATTCTGCCCATTTATTGACTGGGCTGTTTACTTTGTTTTGTTGTTTGTGATCAGTCCCTTATCAGTAGTATTGTGTGCAAAACTTTTCTCTGAGTCAGTGGGGTATCTCTGAATTAATGTTTCTTTTGCTGTACAAAAGCTTTTTACTTTGATGTAATCCCAGCTTGTTTCTTGGTGTGGGCCTGTATTCCTATATACTTTTCTCTTATTACAGCTTTTGCTGTGTTCCTTATATTCTGTTAAGTTGTGTCTTCATTGTTGTTGGTCTCAAAGTATATTTAATTTCTTCCTTGATCTCCTCTTTAAACCAGTGGTTTTCCAGTAGTGTTGGTTTCAAGTTCCATGAAGTGGGGATGTTCCTTACTTTCTTTCTATGGTTTATTTCTAGTTTGATGAGAAAAGATAATTGGGATGATTTTGAGCTTAATGTATCAGTTGATGTTTGTCTTGTGGCCCAATATGTGATCAATTCTGGAGAAAGATCTGTGTGCATCTCAGAAAAATGGGTACTCAGATTTTGGGTTCACTGTCCTATAAATAACTGTTGAGCCTATGAGGTCTAGGTCTTTATTTAGGACTCTAGTGTCCTTATTTATTTTGTCTCATTATCTGTCCACTGGTGAGAGTAGTGTGTTGAAGTGTCCTACTATTTTCTCTAATGTCTGCTTTCAAAGATGATAATAATTGATGTATTTTGGTGCTCCTTCTTTTGTTGAGTATATGTTGAAGAGTATTATATTTTCCTAATGTATTCCACTTAATCATAACATCACTATGCTCTGTTTATATCACCTATGCCTAGTTTTACTATTTTTTAGTTTGAAGTCTATTTTACCTCATACATATAGCTGTTACTGCCTTCTTTTTTGATGCATTTCCTTTAGGATTGTTTGCCAACCTTTTACTTTCAGTCTATATTTATATTTTGTAGTTAAATGGTGTTTCCTGGAGAAAGCAGAAGGTTGGATTTTTTTTTAAAGATTTATTTATTTATTCATACAGAACTGGGGTACAGGCCAGAGATGCGGAGGGTGAGAGGATTCACCAGAGACAGAGTGGGGAGCAGAACAGGCAGATCAATGAAGTACACTGCTGAGGGGAACAGCGGGCGGGTCAGGAGAGGTCTGCCCCGCCATGTGGATCTCCTCGGGGCAGGCAGGGATCGAAATCATGCGGAGTTGGCTTAAGCTTTTTAGTGCAGTGCTTTAACCTGCTGCGCCACCAGGGAGGGCTGGATTTTGTTTTTTAATCCAGCCTGTTACTCTGTGTCTTTTTATTGATGAGCTTAGTCCATTTCCATTGGCATTTGCTGACTTGGTGTTTGTTGAATATGTCATTCCATTCTCTTCTTGCCCATAGTATTTCTTTAGAGAAGTCTGAAGTTAGCCTGAGTGGATGTCCTTTATAGGTTATATGTTTCTTCCCCCTTGCAGCTTTTATTATTATTATTTATTATTATTTTTTTTCTTGTACTGGACACTTGGAAGGCTTACTATTATGTGTCTTGCTGTAGTTTTTCTTTCATTGTGGTAACTTGGTTTCTTCTTGCTTCGATTTATCTATTTTCTTCTTCATGCTTGGGAAGTTCCCTTCTTTTAGCTCCGTGAATAGTTTCTCCATTCCTTGGTCTCTCTCCTCACCTTCTGTGGTACCTATAACTCATTTGTCTTTATTTCCTTTCCTCATGGTATCAGATAGTTCTAAATGTATTCCTTCATTTTTTTCCCATTGTACTTCTCTTTCCTTTATTTTTGGGTTCTTTTTATATTTGTATCTTCAAGAGTATTGATTCATTCTTCTATTTCATCAATTCTATTTTCATGATTTTCCCAGTGTTCTTTAGCTCCTCCATTAATCTTTTTAATATTATGTTTCCTTTCTTCCCCATAGATTCAATTTTATTCTTCAGTTCATTAATTATATGCCTCAAATCATCCTTTCCCTTTTCATCTTTATGTGTTTGAATGATGGCAAATTGAAATAGCAGGGAAAGAATTTCTTCTATTTCACTGTTGTTGAGTTCTGGGACTGATTTTCTTTTTGCTGTATGTCCTTCCTCAGAGGGTTTGCTTGTTTATTTGTATTTGTCTTTTGCTCTGTTGTTTGTTTTCTAATTTGTCCTATCACTGTGCCACTGACACTGCAGGCATCTCTTTGGAGTTCTTCTACTGGGATGCCAGGTACTGGTATCCAGACTGAGTCTGGCACTATCATGTTAGACTTCAGGAGGACAGCAATGCTGTGATAGGAAAGAGGTCACTATTCCTGAAGATAACCAGGCCTCTGTGGTGCTGTTGGTCTCTTCCCCTACATGCCCATCTGAATCTTTGTTTTGGAGCTCTCCTTCTGCCTTTGTTTAGCTCCACATAGAGACATGTAAGGTCATTGGTCTCCAAAACCTTTAGGCAGTCCCTTATTTTCCTGCTCACCTTTGTTTGCACAGCCCTCTCTCTGCCTTTACTCATTTATAAAAAGGGATTGCATAGTCACACTTGCTTCCAACAGACTAACACGCAGGTCTGCAGTTCTTATGGTCCACTGATTACCTTGATGGTAGAGCCCTCCCTCCACTTACTCAGTTCTGAAAGGGAGGCTTGGGACTGCTGGCCTCTAATTCAGCAGCCTTGTAGGCAGCTGTACTGCTATACTGCTCACATTTTGTTTGTGGAGCCTTCCCCCAGCCTTTTTCTCAGTGGTTTCTTTTGGGTATTTGAGTAAAGGTCAAGGTCCGTTGCATGATCTAAATCCTGTTAACCTCTCCAGACTTTACCTCACAACTCTGTGCCTCTGCATATCATTATCATAGCTCACTGTCTTGAATGTATCTCTCCTCACCAAATGCCATTTCCTTCTTGATTTACTTCTTTCCTATTTATCCTCGGAACTCTGCTCAAATTTCTAGAGGAACATAGCCTAGAAATCCTAAATAGGATCAGATTCCTTTGACATACACCCATGGTATTATGTTCCTCAATATTATAGAACTTACATAGGTTTATACTTAAACACAGATGTGCGATATTTAATTAACATTTCTCTCCTGAATTTGAAGTTCTGTGAAAGTTGTACTATATTTACTCTTCCTTCTCCTGGTTCTTCTTCCATCTGTTCTACAAGTGATCATTTTGTCAGATATCATGCCTTTTTTGACTCCACATCCTTCAGAAAATAAAGATCTCCTTGTATCAGAAATTCAAAGCTTGTATTCTCTACCCCATTCTCTCCAAAGGTCCAATTAGGCATCTTCAAGTAAACCAGCAGTTTTTCAAGATTTTGAATGCCACCAGATTGGAATATATCACTTGATAGGTTATTGTACACACACACACACACACACACACACACATTCACAGATACAATACTATTGTATTTTTTTCCTCCTTTCCTTTTATTTTTGAAATATTTCATTTTTCATGTAAGTTTAAGATTCATGGGTCATGATCTTCAGTTTAAAATACAAATGGGCTATGGCAACAACACTTGATGTATGGAATCATATACTTGTAAAATACAGACAACAGTGTAAACCATTGCAAACTCCATCAAAATATTTAAATGAATAAAATATGATGCCATGTATACCCACATGGACATTTCTCTACAAACTCAAAAATCACATATTTCCCAGTTCATTTCTCAACTAAACATCCTTGCTAAGGAATGTATTTATTCTCTTACATGGTAAGAGGCATACTGGATTCTTCTTTACCCAGTATTTGTAAGCCCTTTTGGTTCTTTCTCTGCAGTATGTCACTATCCATTCTGTTCTTTCTGTTCTTATCATCATCATTTTGATTTTATTATTAAATTTGGAACACTGCAGTAGTCTTTTTACTGGTCCCCACTTCTAGAATTTTCACATAGAGGTGACATATGTTTGAGTCACACACAGCAGGAAGTTTATTCAGTTTCATTTCACCAATACTCTATATAGGGTACTAAAATGGATGTTTTCTTCTAGTCACCAAATTCCTTCATTAATTAAATTTCAACTTGAGCTGCGTCATTATTTCTAAAATTCCTGTCACAATGCAGAAACCAAACTCTGGTTTTGTAGTAATGGCAGACAGGCTCACCCATATCAGCGGTAACCATAGTAGACTGGTTTTCAGGGATGGAGACAGAGGCCTGATCTTGGTCCATGCTTCGGGAATCATCATTAATCTCATGTTGACTTTGACTGAGTTCTGATCGCAGCTCTGAGTACTCATCTTCCTCTCTGAGAAAGAAAGAAGAGTCAACAACCACCTATAGACAAAGCCCTACAGGAAATGTCTTTTAAGTACAAGAAACATATATTATGAGATAAAATAGAGAGAACACTCTTTCCTCTACTTATAACACATGGACCAGATTTCTTTTTAGCCCAAATATATAGACACTCACATCATGGTCAGTGTGTGAAACTGAAAGATTGCTCTGGATTTGTCTAGAGCCTACCTCATACTTCACTCTTTTAAGATTTCCTGAAGGAATTAGACTTCTTCCCCACTGAAATTTATGGGCGAAAAAGGATGAAGAGTACTAGCAAATGCCATCTAAGCTGGGGTGACAAATCTACAAATTAAAGAAATGTGTAGAACTTTCCAGAGTTGTACATTCTCATAATAAATCCAATATTTCCAAAGCAGGAAGTCAGCTAAGCCTCTGGATTATAAGTATTTTAAAAATAAAACCACCCAGAAGGATGAGAAGACTTAAAACAGAGATAAACCTCCAAATGTGAAAATATAGTAATCAGAGTGGTGAAAGGAAAAAAATATGCTAATATACTCTGAAGAAGTTAATTATTATGCATCTGCAAATTTAACAATAATTAGATTTGGAAAGAAAACAATTAAAAATACTCCTAAGGGTTGACCTTGTGGTCCAAAGGGTAATTATACCCTGATATATCAGCTTGCTTTTCAACTAACACTTAAAATTCTGATTTGAGTCTAGTGGAAATTTCATGGATTATGAATGATATAATCAGTTTCAGCCTGACCAAGACTGTTGTACAGCCAAGAAAACCATATGAATGCTGCTGTTTTATAAATGTTTTGTAAATGACATTTTCAAAATCTTTAAAACCCTCCTCAAACCCTCCTACCTTGGGAGGACCCAGAATATATAGTACCTGCCAAATCTGCTTTGTAATGTATTACTCCTGGGGTTATTAGGATGAAGTTTATAAAGGAATAGATCAGAGAGGGTGAGAAATGGAAACTGCTGATCATATAAATATCCCCAGCTGAGTCAGAGGTCATTCTAAAAGAGAATTATATCATACTAGAAATGTTGTTTCAGGAAGAAGATTTTCAGTGCTACAAAATGCAAACTAAGAATATTTGTTCAATATATTCAAACACCAAAACAATGATAGGAAAGCAAAGAAGATGGCTCCTTCATTCTAGGAGACAAATATATTTACAGTAATTCTAACTTAAGAAGGATGCTGTAGGTGGATGAGGAGACATATCTGAGACTGCAGACAACTAGTGATCAGGGAAGACTTCTTGGTGGGCTCTCACGATAAGAAGATTCTTGACAGATTATGAGGCTAGAGGGCTCATGCAAAGACTCAGAGGAGACTTTGAAGAATTTGAATATGAACATGTAAAACTCAGAGAGCTAAGTACAGCTGAAGCCAGAGGGGTTGTATTATGGGACATGGGACTGGAAGGACATTCAGGCCACTTCTAGAGGGGCAATTTCAATCAAAAGGAGAATTTATTGAATTGACAATCAGAGTTGGTGAAAAGAAACAGAAATGTGTGAAGTTTAGGAGTTCAGGGGAAGAAGCAAATGTTGCCATGATCTTGCATGGAAACAATAAAATAAGCAGGTGGGAAGCGAAGAAAGTCCACAGGGGGGAGATGGGTTTGGAACACAATCCCTGTGGTGATAATAATGAGTATTACAGAAAAAACAACACATGAAAACAAAGTAAATAATAATTAGCAGCGGAAAACAACCTTGCCAGATTAGGTGGTGTTTTGTGCTACAAAGGATAAGGTATAAAACATTAAATTGTGTCTGAATATTAGAGAAAAGTGTGTGATACTTATTGCTTCTCCCACTGAATGACAAAAAGTTCATGGAGCTGCATATCCTTACCAATGCCTGAATATTATTGCATCATTTCTGAAAAGAAGTTGGAACTGAACAAGGAGATGACAAAAGTGGTATCTCAGGGTGCTTTGAAAGCAGATAGCCCATTTGAGTTCACAGTATGTGTTGAAGACTGATGTTGGGGTTTCTCTCTCTACTCTAATTCAGGAGCATTGGAGCAATGGAGCACAAATTCAAACTGCTCTTCCAGTCTAGGAGAATTTTACAAAGGCAAGAATTTAAGTGTGTTTTAAAGGATACTCTGCAAAGTAGTGTCACTGAGCTGGTAAAAGTGAGTAGTTAATGTCAAAGGCATCTCAAAGTAATTTTATAGTTTGCTTCCTTCAATTGTAAATAGCTTCGTTTGGAGAGATAAAATACCTCTTAAAGAAATAACTGCTAATGTTAGTAATAAAAAGAAAGAAAACACGAAAAGGTCTAAGTAGTGATTATGTTATGCTACAAAACAGAAATTTGATACAATGATAAGCATTGATATGATTAGCTGTTGTTGCAGTTACTAATTCCAGAATCACAAAGTTCTCAGTTGTTTACCTTTGGAATATAAATTATTTCATAGTTCTTCCACCTTCCTCTACTTAGAATTGCAATGATTAATGCTTGTTAGAAGCTTAAACAACAAAGCAAACAAGACCATTCCTAATTTGGTAGATCACAGTGTAATGATTATTTGTGGTAAGAAAGTCACTGACTAGCACTGTGGAAGGGATTTTAGAGACCATCTAAAATAGGAACAATGCTTTCACTTTATAAATAAGATAAATGAAGCCTAAAAATGCTAAGCCACTTACCCATGATTGTGCAACTAGTTAGTAGCACAGCTTATTTCCTAAGTCTAATACCAATGAAACAACAATCTAACATGGTATTTTTTTTTTAAAGATTTATTTATTTATTCATACAGAACTGGGGTACAGGCCAGAGGCTCAGGGGGCGGTGAGAGGCTTCACCAGAGACAGAGTGGGGAGCAGAACAGGCAGATCTACGAAGTACACTGCTGAGGGGAGCAGCGGGCGGGTCAGGAGAGGTCTGGCTCGCCATGTGGTCTCCTCCCGGGAAGGCAGCAGGCGGGAATCGAACTCATGCGGAAGTGGCTTCAGATTCTCAGTGCTGTGCTTTAACCCGCTGCGCCACCAGGGAGGGCCCTAACATGGTATTTTTTTTTTATTGTGATTTTTACTGTTTATACTTATTGGCTAGAGAAAAAAGTGAAATCTATGAAAGTATAATTTTTGTTTTCCAAACATCAAGTTAAAGTACAATGAAATCAGCACTTGCTAAAAAAGATTGTATTATTAGCAATTCCCATGTCTATTCCTTTTTGGGGTGTACTTTCATGCTTTGTTACTGGATTTGAGTAGTTTATGAACAGGACCCAGGATGAACATCTGCCTGCCTTGGCAGTCAACTATGTCCAACTAACCTGGTTTACCTTAATTGGTCTTTTTTTTGTTTGTTATTTGTTTTTTATTTTGGCCTACTGTAGTACAAATGGGGAGGGGAAGGGTATGTGGGGGTAGAGGGTGTGAGACTGGCAGACCTCCCAGCTCCTGGCAAATATTTACCTTTTCTCTGGTATTCTTTCATGGTCCTGTCTTTGTACAGTCACCCATCCTCTTATAGTCATTCCACTATAGCCCTCCCACTCTCTGTGTGACACCACCCTTATATCTTCAGCCTCTAGGCTGTGTCCACACATGCCCACACCATACACCAGATGTCCACCATCAGGCATGTGTACCCCAAGGCCATGCTCCCAAGTATGCTCCTCATTCAAGGCTGCAGATGCTAGCCACAGAGGCTACTGGCATAAAAGCCTGAGCATCTTCATTTACCCTACAACTGTATTCTCTTTTTCTTACAGTTACAGTCCTGAAATGGTTAACATTCTTTTAAAGAACAAATATTACTTATATGTAAGGAGGAAATGTATTCCATTCAGATCTCTTAGAGGATTTATAGCAGTAAATAAATGATGAGTAAAGTCTTGGATCTTCCTTAAATTCTTCCTCTTCTCATTTTTTTACATATAGCATGGGGGGTAGAATATCAGATTCATCTATGAAATTTTGCTGATTAACTGAACAAATGAGGTTCTGAAATGCTCTTATATATAATTCTCAATGAATCCAAGAATTGACATAGGATCCATATTCAAAACTTCTATATCACAAAAGAGGGTTTAATCAAAACTAGATAGGAAAACAAAAAGAGAAATTTTGTCTTTCTGGGTTTTCTTATTATTTCATTGTATTTTACTTTCTAGTCAAGAAATTAATCAAAATAACATGTTTTGCTGGGAGATAAAGAAGTTCTGTTTATACTGTGTTTGCAATACAGCAACATGAAGGTGAACAGACAGATGCATGCAGATAGAAGTATGAGCTGAAAGATCAAGAGAAAGGTTAGGATCATTATGCAAGCAGGATATCATACAAATCAGATTATGTTAGAACAAATCAAGATTTTGGACTTTATCACATTTTCTTATTTTTTAGATAAGGAAATAGAAGAATTGAGTAGAAGCAGAGGTGACACTGAAAAGAGAGGTCAGTGCTTTAGGGCTGCAGCAATTAAAGATGAAAGGAATGAGAGATGAACCCAAGATAAGAAGCAAGGATGAAGATGGGTCTTTAGGACAGAAAAGTAGAACTAGAGTTCTAAAGGGTTGAGAAGAACATACCAGAAGGGAAGGAGTATTTAGGGTCAAAATACTGCAAAAAAGGACCAGTAACAAGAAAATGTCACTGAGTTTTCAGTTAAGAACTCATTGATTAATTTTAAACAGAGTGTCTTAGTTTTGACTGCTGTAACAAAATACCACACATTAGCATGCCTAAAAGGCATAAATTTAGTCTCTTGTAAGTTCTAGACTGGCTCTTTTGTTGGCATGCAGATACCTGTTTATACATGTCAGGGGGAGAGAACAAGCCAGTGAGAAGCTCTCTGGTCTCCTTTTATGGGGATATTCACTAATCCTGTCATGCTGGGCCCACCTACATTACTGCAATTTCACCAATTACTCCTCAAAGGCCTCATCTCCAAGTAGGGCTAGGGATTCAACATATAAATTCCGTGGTGATGGTGGTGGCAGGGGTGGGACAC